CTTCATGTCGAACAAGGTTGTCTGCTGTATATAGATATGTATCTGAGATTCTGTGTTTTTGCAGACAATAGTGGATTGTCCTGATGGTCTTGTCCCGTCGTGTGGCCTGTGTAGGACTGGGTTGGTGCTGGCATGTGAGACTTATCATCTAGTATCCGTTTTTTGTGTTGTTGCTTATTGCCCCTTGTTTTGTTGTATTTGGTTATTCTCTGCCTCTCTTCTTTGCCTCTTTGCCCTTTGGCTGTGTGCAAGTGGATCGATATGACACATAGGGGTGGGGGCAGCCGCCACTCAACCTACATTCGCGTGGGCGACCTTGTACGCAAGAGGTTTTGAACAGGAGGAGTTGTAAGGAAAAAAATAAAAAATAAATTTATACATTTTTATTTTCTTTTGTTTTTTTTTTTGCTTCTGCACTCTGATTTTCATGTGATGATATATATATATAGAGAGAGAGAGATTGTGGCAAAGTGGGTTTTTTAGTGCTTAAAAACATTATTACTGTCGTCATATACGAGATAAAAACAATAGATACACTTCTGTTTTCCCTCGAACAACATGGCTTGATTGTTTGTGTCCATGTGGGGGGGGGGGGGGGGGGGGGAACCCTCCCCCAACCAACCAACCAATCAAATAACCAATCAATCAACCAATCAATCAATCAATCAATCAATCAATCAATCAATCAATCAAAAAAAAAAGCTCCGCAGCATCAGTTTTTTTATTTTTATTTTTCGTTAATCAATCAATCTGCAATCAGACTCGCATACTTCGTCACTTCACATGCATACAAATAGATGGTGAATCACTCTGGCGCATAGCGCCCAACTCAAAGCTCGAAGATATGGAAATCAAGACACAGTTCAGATATAACAGGCTATGGTGCATCAGCACCCACACATCGCAACTCTTGTCTCTGTGTACAACACCACTGTTCGCTTCACACTTCAGCTCCGGATCACCCTGGATACCCCACGCACACACACTGTACACACACACATACACACCTAACACTAAGCTATGGCAGCTATGGCCGCCACTAACTCTAACCTACAAGCAGCTATGGCTACGCTAACTCCTTCTAGCCCACTTCGACTTCAGGCTCCTCTGCAGACCACCTCGCACAAGTCACCGTGGCAGCGCTTCCGCATGGCTTCCGCAGGAATGAATGAATGGTTGTGCGCTGCCTCTTGATTTATACTTCTGTAACTCGTTGGTCTGCCTCTTTCCACCGGGCCCATGGTGCACACAGTCCCCCTTGGTACTTGCTGACTGTGCAAAGTGAGACTGGGACTGGGTACCGCTGACTAAGCGAAGTTGGGCACACCACTTGCCCACTTGCCTCTGGCCCTCTGTGTAAAACGTGAGGGGAACCTCGAAAGGCCACTTCCGGACCTTCCGGAAGACCATGGACTTGGCCTTTCAGTACTGTAGCAGCTACGACCTTGACCCTTCAGGACTGTAGCAGCTACGACCTTGACCCTTCAGAGGAGCTACAACTACGACTTCTAGAACTCACTAGGGCTCCTATCCGACAGGTCTACAGATTGAATCCCCTACAACCTACGGACCTAAAACAGCCTACCAACTGTTTGCGAATACACAGGTTACGGGTTCAAATACTCAGGGGTCAGCTCGATACTGTACACGGGTGAGGTAAGGTCTGGGGATCAAACCCTGGGATCTGCATCTGCCTCTGCAAAGGTGGAAACCGTTTCACTCCCGCCGGCCTAAATTCGAGGTCCTCCGAGAATATCTCAGTCCAAGGCAGGACCTTTACCTTTCCTATCTCTTTTGTAGGCCCTGACTATGTCTGTCAGGAGCTGTTTCTAGAAGTTCAGTTTTGGTAAACCAGCGGTCGTCTTCCGGTTCTTGATATGCGAATCGAACCTTGTACTGTTTTTGAGGACGACCTCTACCTCCTGTTCTAAATACATCTTCACCTACAATGCTGTCAATGTCGTATCTTCCATCCATATCCGGAGGGATCATGGACCTTCTGGAGGGAAACTGTTGACTTGTGACACACGACAACAATTTCGATGCGTGGAATACGGGGTAGGTGTGGAGGTGCGCCGGAATCTCTACCGTATAGGACGGCCCATCCTCTTCGCCTTAACTTCTAGAACTGGCCACGGTCCTCTATACGCGGGCAATAGCTTTTGCGAGATGTTCTCCTCAGGAGCAAAATCCTTAGTCTTGACCCAGACTAAGTCGCCTACTTGAAACTGTGACGGACGACGATGCTTATTGGCTTGCTCTATCATCCTATGCTGGGCTTTCCTGAGGTTCTCTACAACGGTAGCTAACTCTTGCTCGTGCTGTAACGCAAACTCCCTAGTACCGGGCGGGTAGCCTATGAATCTGGTCCCGGTTAAGTCCCTCAAACGGTCTGCGTCGTCTAAAGGACTTGTGTAATTCGTTGGGAGTGTGACACGTGGACAGGCGCACACTGTTATTGTAGGCACTGGCTACCTTTGGGAGCATCTCATCCCAGTTAGTCTGATCAGGTCTAATGTACATTCTCAGAACTTGCTGTAGGAGATTATTCATTTGCTCAGTCTGACCGTGAGTCTCTGGATGACGGCCAGATGACATCAACAACTTGGAGCCATATACTCTCATCAACTCCTGCCAGTTCTGGCTAGTGAACCGGGTGTCTCTATCGCTAACTATAGACAGCGGAATCCCGTGTTCACTGACCTAATGATCAAAGAACTTCTGAACTACCAACTTTGTACGTGCCTCCGCAGGCAACGGAACAAAAACTGCATACTTGCTAAATCTATCTACTATGACCATGACTTGGCTCTTACTATGCCTACTCTTGACGCCGGTGTCCATGAAATCAATGGACACGGAATCTCCGGGCTGGTCAGGAATAGGCAGGGGTCTAAGAAGACCTAGAGGGGCACGCGTGGTGGTCTTGTTCCTCAGGCACACTTTACAACTGCGGACATACTCTATGCAATCATTCTTCATCCCTGGCCAAGTGTACGCGCGGATTAGATTGGCTGAGGTCTTTTGCCAACCGAAGTGTCCCTCAGTATCATGACATTCCCCTAGGATCAGGCTACGGATCTCCTCACTATTAGGAATGCACAACCGGTCAACAACATTAGTCTTCTCAAACAATAACCCCTCTATAGTGCGGTAATCTGGCTCGGTTTCTGGGGCCTCCATTACTTTCTTACGAAGGTCACTATAGATAGGGTCCTGCGCATACGCCTCTCTAACTTTCTGTTGCAGGTCTTTCCCTATATCCAGATAATGGACTATCGCTCCAAAGTAGTCTGATCTCCTACTTGGAGCATCCGCAACTACATTATACTTGCCCTTGACTGGCTTGAGCTCAAAGTCGTATTGGTCTATCTCTGCGGCCCACCTAGTCAACTTAGGTGTCATCTTGGCCTGCGTCTTCAGCCACCTTAACGTCTCGTGGTCTGAATAGACTTTGAAGTGTCTCCCAAGCAAGTAGTGCTTCCAGTGTTCTAGTGCTTGCCTGAGAGCGTAGAGTTCCCTCTCGTAGGTGGATGTCGCTACCTTCTCTGAAGGCATCCTAGCAGACATGAACTCTACGAGTCTATATCCATTACCATCGTCTTGCTGTAGTACAACACCTATGCCATACTGGCTCGCGTCGGTGGTAACAACGAGAGGTAAGGACGGATCGGCGACCTTAAGGACCGGATACTCTATCAACGCCTGCTTCAACTTCTTCATGGCAGACGTGCAGTCCTTATCCCACTTCCAGATTGTTTCTTTCCTTAGCAATCTGCGAAGGGGCGCAACGATGGTAAAGAAGTTTCTTACAAACTTTCGGTAGTAGTTCGCTAGGCCTAAAAACGATCGCAACTCCGTCAGCGTGCGGGGCGTAGGCCAATCTCTAATCGCTGCAATTTTCCTATCCTCTGGCTTAATGCCATCTCCGTCTAAGACGTGGCCTAAGTACAAAACTTGGGTCTTTGCCCACTCGCACTTCTTGGGGTTGATCTTGAAGTTAGCCTCTCTCAACTTTTCCAAGACCTGCCTGAGATGACCCTGGTGCTCTTGGAGGGTCTTGCTAAAAATTAGAATGTCATCTAGATACACTACTACAAACCTATCTAACCACGGCCTAAACAGGTCATTCATACAACGCTGAAAAGTCGCTGGCGCGTTGGTTAGTCCAAAGGGCATGATTATAAACTCATAGTGCCCATACCTAGTCCGGAACGCGGTCTTATACTGATCATCAGGATGGACCTCTATCTGATGATATCCGGACTTCAAGTCTATCCTCGAAAAGTACTTGCGTCCCTGCATCCGGTCTAAAAGATCGTCTATACGGGGTAGCGGTTCTGCATTCTTCACCGTGATAGCATTAAGACCCCTATAGTCTATACACATCCTGAACTCTCCCTCCTTCTTGGGAACAAACAAGACTGGTGCTCCAAAAGGAGATGAACTGGGCCTAATCCAACCCTTCTCTAGGAGTTCGTCTAACTGTTTGCGTAGCTCCTCTAACTCCCACGGAGACATCCTGTACACCGCTCCTTTGGGAGTCTTACTGCCAGGCTCAATCTCAATGCAATGCTGGATGGGCCGCGGTACTACTATTGTCGGCGGCTCAGGTAAATCTTTGAATTCTTCCAGCAACTTGGCAATAGCTGGATCGACGGGTTTCTCTTCCTTAGGCTCAGTGACAGGCCTGACGTAAACTACGAAGACCTGTTCTTCTAAATTCTCCTTTTTCACCATTCGTGCGAACGCAGGAGCACTGAGACAGCAATGTGCCAGGGTGTTATCTACTCCTGACACATGGAACAGACGGACAGTCTTAACCTCGCCTGCCGGACTAGGGAGCCTACACTCATGCTCTCTTAAGTGGAGTGTGGTCCCTGCTGCCTCTCCCCAGTCCATACCTAGGACTATATCAAAAGGGAGGTCATCCTGCACGAGGAGAGTCAAGGAATGGAGAACTTTCTCCACCTTCCCATCTTTCTCTAGGCGGAAATATGCCTGGACTCCCTCTACGTACTCCTCAACTCGCATAGTGCGGTTGTCCGCGAGGACACTAACTATGGGGTCTTCCAATTTCTGGACTTTCGAGTTTAGCCTCAGCTTCTTCAGCGCTCTATGGCTAATGTAACTGCGGGTAGCCCCTGAATCTATAAGGGCTCTTACTCTACTTCTAAAGACCTCTACATCTACCAAAACTAGCTGTCCTTTACTCTCTTTCTTCATCTTGGCCCAGGCGGGCATTCTCTCTTTCAGCTCATCAGCCACACCTATGAGAGAGGTGCCTCACGAGACTCTAACACAAGCAGTCTCTGGACAGCTATCCAGGCACCGACCTGCAACCTCTGCCATAGGCTCATGTGGTGTGGGAGTTTCTTGCCGGCTCGCGCTCGTTTCCCCACATGGCCTTTTGGTAGGGGCAGTTGCAACCCCTACCGGCGGCCGCCTTTTGCCTGTTGGGCAGCCCATCGGGCCTCTCTATACTTTGGACAATATCGAATGATGTGTCCAGGGTCACCGCAAAATACGCACTGCCCCTGATCCACACGCTGCTGCCAGACGCGCTGGTCCAGGCCCAAATCCTCCCAAGGTCGGCCCTGTGGCATACCTGGGTGCCAACCACCTCTCCTATAGGGTGACCTATTACCCCTATTAGGTGAACGGTTGCCAGAACGGTTTTGAGGGGGACCTTGACCCCTTCCTCCCGCTTGGCGGTTTCCTCCTCTTCCGCCAACCCCCTGATCGCCCTGGAAACGACCACCTGAGGCCCGGCCCCCTTGGCCCTGGCCTCCTCCTCTTCCTTGCGGCCTCCCTCCGACCGCGACAGCAGCGTAAGCTCTCCCCTGGCTAATGCTACTGTCCTCCTTCTCCTCCTCTAGCCCCCACTCTATCTGATCGTAGGGGACTTCCTCCACACTACCTTCATCTAACGTAAGGAGCAGACAGTCCTTGGTCTTGATCTGCCCAGAGATAGTGTGACCCTTCCACTTCTTCCCTTTGTCAAGGTCCTTGTGCCAGAAAGTGGAACTGACATGGACCATGCTTCAAAAGCTACCACTTCCCTGCTCAAAGCGTCGTAGGTCATGGTAGGCTGCTGGCTCTTCTCAAAGAAGTGCCCACGTAACGATTCGGGCATAGCCCGGTAGAAGAGGTTGACCAGTTGGATCTATGTGACCCCATGGTCAGGGACAGCCACTAACTCGTCCATTACCCCTTTGAGTGCCTTGGCACTCCTCCACTGACGAGAGTGGATAGTCTGCAACCGATCAGAGGCTCTGACACTGCGCGAGACATCTACGAATCGTTCGCGCAACAACTTAAGAAAATCAGCGAGGGGAGTGAACGCAGAGTAGGCAACTACATCCTCGTTGCAATTTGCAGCGCGAACTAGGGATCGGGCGAAACTGGCGGCCTCCTTCTTTAGCGCGTGAATAGCGACTAGCACGTGCTCATCTGGGGAGACCTTTTGCAAGTGCACATAGGTCTTAATATTGGCCTCCCAGTTGTCAAAGTTCTCCTCCTTCTTTCCACTGTAGGAATCGGGGAACTTGACTTTGACAGGCTCCCTACGGGGTCGTGCTTCCTCCTCCTTGGGAGCAGTCAGTCTGGCGCCCTTTATGGCACCCGTGCAATAGCACTCTGTATTGTCTAGGCGGGCCTTCACTTCGGAGCCCACCTGTGTCGCCAGTTCCCGTGCAAAGTCCCGGAGCCCCGATCGTATAGAGCGCACAACAATGTCCTGACTTCTACCAAATAAAAGTTGCTCTTCCTGGACTCGTGCTAGGCGCTCTATATTCTTTGCCATAATCTCCATCTTCCCCAATAAGTCCACTTGCACCGCCATCTGATCCTTCTGTTTCTTTATCTCTTCTAACTCTATCGCCGAATGACTTGCCGCCTCCATCCTTCTTTTCCTCTCCCTTGTCAGGCGAAACTTCCACTCCATCCTTTTTTCATCTTCCAACACCTGCCGCTTAAGCGGATCTCCTTCAGCCTCCCATTCTTTTACGGCTGCCTCCTGTTCGTCCCTAGGCACATACATTAGGGCCTCCTCATCTTCTCCCAGGGATAGTCCCGCAACCCACTCTGTAATTTTCTTCTCCATCAAATCCTCTTTCCGGCCACTGGATTCTCCTCTTCTTCCTGCCCTTCGCATTTCCAGTGGTTGTTCTTCTTCCTCTTCTTCTTCTTCTTCTACCGCCTTCAACTTCTCTTCTTGTTCTTTCTTCAACCTCTCCTTCTCTTTGGCCATCTCTTCCTCTATCCTTTTCAACTTCGCCGCCTGCGCCTCCAACAAGGCCTTCTTCTTGGCCTCCTTCTCTCTCGTCTCTTTGAGGATGGCGGCGGCCTTTGCTTCCTGCTCGGCCGTGTAGGGCGAGGTACTCGTCCCTGTACGTGTATCTTCCCTACACAAAAACGTGTTCTAGAATCCCAGTGGGAAAATGAAACGCCAAAGGGTCCCCCAAAGGGAGAACCCCACGAGCAAGCCGTACATGGGGTAGTCATCCATGGTGTTCAGGTGCACGACAACGTCCCACTCCTCACCACGTAGACCTACCCAGACCACTAACTTAACTGACTCTCTAAGGACCACAGAATCTTCCCCTTTGTTCCAGCCAGATTACCACGGCCGACGGAAGCTTTCGCAACCACAGTCCTTGCAATCCAAACCCAGATGCCCAACACCTGCGGTCAAACCCACCTGGCTTTCACTCCGGTTCAGACCCTGTCAGCTAGGGGCACTAGCCTAGACTCTAACTACAGCCGTCACTACTGAACCTGTTGCTGATCAGGAGGCATTTAAGGAGATCTCCCGTAACTCCTCAAGAATTCTTTAACGTCGCAGATAGAACGACGTGATCAGCAGGTTCTCTCAAGACTTAGACGGCCCGTTGTGCAGCTCACAGCTCGGATTTTGGGCCTACCGTGCCACACCGAGCAGCCCGCCGGTCAGTACCGGTCCTTGGGAGGGTTCGTGTCCTCCGGGACAGTCGAGTCGTCAGACACAGTCTTTAGCCCTACTCAGCCCGTGAGGGTTTGGTCAACGAGGCCCTATCCTTCATACACGGAGTCCTATCACCTGGACAGAAGAGACTCGATGCAGAAAGAAGAGACAGACAGACTCAGACTCAGCAAGTACCATAGGGTGAGTGCACATCCATAGGGCGAGGGGATAGGCTGTGGGCTCGGCGAGATTATACCCGCTCCAGCTTGGTCAGAATCGTGGTCAGCAGCTCCGGTCAACGCCTTGGTCAACGTTCCGGTCAACCCTCTGGTCAACGCCCGGTCAACCCCCTGATCGGCTATGGCTGCCGGCACCTTCTTCCTCGCCAATCTCCCTTCTCTTTCTTCTCCTTCACCCTTCTTCTTTCTCGTTGTTTCTCCTTTTTTTTTTCTTTTTTTTTGTACACCCCCAACTATGTCTGTCTTCACCTTCGTTTTCCCTTCTTCCTCCTTCCTGCTTCTCTCTCCTTCTTCCTCCGTGTTCTGAGCTCTGCGGCTATGGCCGCTACTTCTTCTTGGACCGCACAACCAATCTTCAGCACAGCAGGTACGTGGTAACCAATCTTGTATCGCTCAGCCTCTCTCTCTCTCTCTCTCTCTCTCTCTCTCTCTCTCTCTCTCTCTCTCTCTCTCTCTCTCTCTCTCTCTTCGTCGTTGTCCTCTTGTGCAGGTA